CTGAGTAGCTGGGACTACAGGCACGCGCCACCATGCCTGGCTAATTTTTTTATATATATATTTTTAGTTGTCCAGCTAATGTCTTTCTATTTTTAGTAGAGACAGGGTCTTGCTCTTGCTGAGCTTCCCACAGTGCTAGGATTACAAGCGTGAGCCACTGCGCCTGGCCAAGACAGCCTATTTTTAAAAGAATAAGTTTTTTACTATAGTAGGTGATTTCTATTATCAGTCTCTAAGCAGATACTACCAAATGCTTAAAAATATATTTATTCCAGTTCCATTTTATTATCACATTATCTATATACATTTAAAACACATTCCTCATAAGTATTTGTAAAACTCAGCAGCCAACTCTCAAATATGTTTATCAACAGCCAATTCCTTATTTTTCCCAGCAATGTCAACATATTTTTAGATCTGAAGGAAGTTCTGATGAAAACAACCCTCTTCTGTTTCTTTCATTCTCCAGTCAACGCTAAAGGTAATAGAGATAGTGAATAACTGGTCCAAATTGCACCAGTTTACAGATAGGAATGTAACCCTAATAATCAGATGATGAACTAACTGCAGCTACAGCTTGGGGGACAGAGGGAAGGGCAGGTGCAAACACCTTAGTCAATACCAAGTACACTTACCCAAGTTAATTGGCAATAACGAAGCTAAGAGATAAATACTATTTCTTATACACCTGGTCTCAGTGATTTATTTGAGTTTAAAAGTTTACGCAAGGTTTTCCAACTGCAACTGAATGTGCTTGACTTGAAACTCTGAAAACTTGGCTTTATTGCAGGAATTGGAATGGAGAAAAGACCTCTCCTTTCATAAGGCAGGTCAATGATTAAGTAGTTTACAATTAAATAGTTTTACTACATAAAAATGGTACAACAAACATAGACTCATAGTTCATTAAAATCACAGATGAAAGTCAACGGTCAGTGTTATTACCAAACAAAAGCACGAGAGACACAACTTCCAAGAATATCATGCTGTTAATTAAATATTATGCTTTTAAAGAGTAGTTAATGGCATGAGAAAATGCCCACAATGAAATAAAAAGACAGTAGGAAATAAAACTTTGATGATTCCAATTTGACATTAAATATTATATAAATAGACTAGAAGGAAGTCAAAATGTTAATAGTTATATTTAGGTAATTAGAGATACTTAGATGATTTTTTCTGTACAACTTTCTGTATTTTCCATGATAAAATGCAACTTTCATAATAAGGAAAAGAACTATTGTTACAAAAAAGAAATACAAGAATTTACATTCGGATTACCTTGTGAAGCAATGGTATTTGGGTTGCAATGAAAATATCTATTGGAGAAGTGTATTAAAACTCTCTCTCGTTCTTGAGTTTCTCCCACAAGAGAAAATGCTTTAAAGAAATACCTAAAAAAGAATTGAGAAAAAAGTGAAGTTTAAGAAAATTTTAACCACCCTATTTATGTTTGACAGTTAAAGTGGATTTATACAAACATGAGATTAATTATACAAAAATATTATACAGTTCTCTCAAAAAAAAATCACTTCCTAGATGGTCATTCAATATAAATATACATTTGTATTTAAATTCTGTAAGATATCAATGTAAAAGGTGACAGCTTGATACAGGGGTGTCAAAACAAGAAAATCTTAGAAAGGTAGGTCATTACCCATTATGAGTAAGTCTCAAGTAGCTAATTTTAAAAGGTCAATTAAAAAAACCAAAGAACACTTAAGACTCAATGCATAATCATACAGGCCATGTTTTAAAACTCTACACACATCAGGATTCTTTTGTCATTTTGTTACATGTAATCTCCACTAACCCACTAGCAAAATTATAATTACAATGCCATGTGCACATTTCTGTTAATTTTGTCCTATCACACTTTATTATTAATTTGTTACATGAGGAGGCAACTGGGAAATAAAACCCTAGTTTATTCCTTAAATTATGGAATAATTTATATATAAAACTTTTTAAAATAGGAAATATGCCTAGAACCACCAATTAACCAGTCAATGAGAGGATGGTTTATTACAGATCAATCCAGATGACCCTCACTTGACAACACAGATGCATTTTGCTAAATATGAGATGGGAAGCAAAAACATCATTTAAAATATACTAAGAAATCTTACAATACATACTATATATATATATATACACACACACAATAAACCTTATTTCTATGAAAATTTTGGCTTCTTCCTTATTATAGATATATAGTTAACCTAAATTATGTTGATTAAACTTTAATCTTCCATAACTGTAATAAACCACATCAGAATGCAAAGCAAAAATGTAGATCTTTGCTCCACTCTTACCTGTTTTCATGAGAAAACTTTTGAGTACCCTTGATGCATGGAAAGAGCCACAGAATAAATCACTGTAGTACATTCTAATCCGAACACTGTCAGTTTACCTCCCCAGCCTGAGTTTCCTAATTTGTAAAATTAAAGGGTCATACTAGATGATCTCAGAATTCTTCCAAGCACCAGCATCTTAAAAATAAATAGTTTCTAAGGTTAAATGCTGACTGGGTTTTACCTTCCGCTGCTCTTAGAAATTTGCAATACAATATAATGTGAAAAGGATCAATGTGTTTGAAACATCTTCATTTGGAAAGGTCAGCAAAAAGTAGATACTGTTGGGAAACAATTTTACAGATACTTTCCACTGATTATTATGTTATGTTCATTTTTATTCCACTCAAGAGTTAATTCCAAAGTATCACCTTAAAAGGCAATTTGGGTATAGTAAGCAAATGCTTAGAAAAAAAAATTCTGTAATTCAACATCTGTAAACTGTTTTTTTTTCTTTTTTTTTTAACTGATCATTCAAAAACCAAACTCCTTACCCAAAAGAGCTGAAAGCAGGGTCTCAAAAAGATATTTGTACACCCACGTTCATAGCAGCATGATTCACAATAGCTAAAACGTGGAAGCAACCTGAGTGTCCATAGATGGAGGAATGGATAAGCAAATGGTGGTATATCCACTAATGGAGTGTTATTCAGCCTTAAAAAGGAAGAAAGTTCTGCAATATGCTACAACACTGATGAACCTTGAGGGCATTGTGGCAAGTGAAATAAGCCAGTCACAAAAAGACAAATACTATATGAGTCCTTTTATATGTGGTACTTGGAGTAGTAATCATGCAAATGAAAAGCAGAATGGTGATTGCCAGCGGGGGAAAGGTGGGAAGGCGGAATTACTGTTTTACAACATGCAAAGTTATGGAGATGGACGCTGGTGATGGTTGCACAACATCGTGAATGTATTTAATACCACTGCACACTTAAGAATGGCTAAGATGCTAAATTATCTTATGCGTATTTTACCACAATAAAAAAAATTGGAAAACAGAAAAACTCCTACAGATTCCATTTTGTTCTCCAGATTTGCTTTGCCACCATTCTTCACTATGCCATCTGGACTTGGGCTTACCCTTAGATGTAGAATATTAATTTCTGTATGATTTCATAAAAACAATATGTTTTTCTTACTCCATGCTATGTTTAATATCTACAATACAATCTAAGTTCACAAAGTACAGGTTGAGCATCCCAAATTCAAAAATCTGAATTTCAAAATGCTCCAAAATCTGAAACTTTTTGAGTGCTGACACGATGCTCAAAGGAAATGTTTATTGGAGCATTACAGATTTCATATTTTTATATTTGGGATGTTGTCTGCTCAACTGGATGAGTATAATGTAAATATTCCAAAATCTGAAAAAAAATCCCAAATCCAAAACAGTTCTCGTCTCAAGCATTTCAGATAAGGGATACTCAACTTATAACTGAAGGTTCAAAAAAATAAAAACATATTCTAGATATAGCACATTATGTTCTCCACTAAGAATCAATCATTTGGAGGCAACGAAAAATAGAAGTAATGTTTAATCATACCTGAGAGACTGATCCAACGTCATTCCTGTAAAATCAAAAAACTTCAGATACTCTTCTGCAACTAGTTTGCTAAATTCATTGCTATAAATAAGAAAAAAGAATAGACTTGGTTATTGGAATGGAAGCTATTAACATAAACACAAACACGCCCACACAAAATAGGATAAAACTCAGACAACACAGCCTTGGGTCAGAACGTACTTCTTGCCTAGGTGTTTTGCGACGTCTGATCTTTTGAATCTGTCTAGTTGATAAAGGCGTTTGGCCAACCTTTTGGCTGCTTCCACGTTGCTGCTGGTACCATTACTGAGATTTTCTGAGGTCTCCTTTTCCACAATTTCAGTGCTCCCCATTTCAGAATGAGCCTCCAGCCGAGCTGTTTTCACCCCAGCATTGCTGTGAGAGTCGATAAAAGAGAAAAACAAAATAATAGAAAAGATTTTTCTTGGATAGCAAAAAAGGAAATATTAAATCTGATGAAATTATCATGATATTGTATAACCAACCAAATGAAAACTATTTTAAATGAGATCATTTTATACTTAAATATTCAAACAAGTATTTTCAGCTAGTAAATTTCAAAGGACTCAAGAAATAATTGCCTAAACCCTAGACAAGTGTTTCTCAAAAGTTTTGGTCTCAGACCTTTATATTCTTATTATTGAGGACTTCAAAGAGCCTTTGTTTATGTGAGTTATATCTCTTGACGTTTATCATATGAGATATTAAAACAGAAGAAATTTAAATATAAATTCATTTAATAAATCCATATCATAATATAAATACTACATTTTTATTAAGTGTAACTATATTTTCCCAAACAAAATTTAGCAAGACAAGAGACTGTGTTTTCCATTTTTTACAAATTTCTTTAATGGCTGACTTAATAGAAGACAGCTGGATTCTCAGAGCCACGTCTACATTCAATATTATTGTGGCTGGAGTATATTAAGAAAATCTGGCCTCACAAAGATATCTAACTAGAAAAAGGAGGAATATTTTAATATCCTTTCCAGATAATTACACCTATTCTTTTTTAATATGACACCAAAATAAGTGGTAGTCTTTTTCCAAAATAAGAGAAATGGTAGTCTTTTTAAAAGTTAATTGCGACATAGAATCTAAACTCATGTCAATGAACTTTTTGTATTCTTACATTAAAATCTGTCTTATAATTTGAATGGATCTTTTACTCATGCATGATTTTGTAACATCACACATTGGTCATCTGCAAAATATTTGACACATTTCTTTATACAATAAAAAAACTGCATTCATTAATGTTACTACCAGTATCTTCAGAAAAGTCTAAGTATTGGGAAGCTGCCGAACATTTGGTAGCAGATATAAGTTTTCCAAAATTCTAAGTTTTGATCATAAACCTTAACTTTCATCATTGGCTATAAATATTGTCAGTTTTCCTTAAAGCAATAGGCTTAAAATATTCATTCTTGAAAAAACGTATGCCGATAACCATAGTCTGTCAGTCATTCTTGCAAGGAAAAAATGACTTTCCGTGAAAAAAGTGACTAGCTTATCGCCCCAACTCAAATGACGTGTACATGCTTTTCCTGGAATTAGCCATCAGGCACAGGACTGCTTTATTCCCATTTCATCACACATGAAATTAAAGACACGAACTCAAGTGCTGAGAGGTAATAAAATTAATCTGTACTGGCTTCACCAAGGACATTTTTAGGTGAAACTGGCCTTGTTTTTACTTTGAGTGCATGGCAGTGGAGAATGCAATGATGACGAGATCAGTTTGGTGCCACTGCCTGGATTTCTGCTAAGGCCCCTTCTATTGCTTTGGTACCATACAGTATCAACACGGAGAAAAAGGAAAATAATAATGTAGTAATTAGTATAAAGTAACTTTGACCTCGCACACCTACCGAAGGAAGGAAGCCTCACAGGCCACACTTTGAGAACCTCCATTTTAGACGGGAATCAAACTACAGCCTGTGGCCAGCTCTAGAGCATGACCTCATGCATTTATCACACTAAAACCAATGAGGAAACATTAATTTCCAAATCTTCATTTTAACTTGGTAACAAAGACATGTTCATGATAAAATACTGTGCTTAAATGGCCTTCCAATACACTCTTCCAACTGTAGACTCTAAACCAGGGAGTCAGAATTTTTCCATCAAGAACCAAATAGTAAATATTTTAGGCTTTCAGGCCACATAAGGTCTGTGTCACACATGCTGTTTTGTTGTTGTTTTGTTACAACCTTGGAAATCATAAAAGCCATTCCAGGCCGGGCTGAACTAGGCCTATGTACGGGAGTTCACATCCCTTGTTCTATCCCAAAGTTCTTTAACATGGCCTGCATTATAAGTAACCATTTATTACTTAAACTAGGACTCTCTGAAGAGGGACAGTGATGATAAAATCATTAAAGATAATTATAATAGTTACAAAATAAAAAAAAAACTATCATCAATAAAAAATAGTGCTGCTAATGGGTACATAATTTCTTTTTGGGGTGATGAAAACATCCTTAAGATAGTGGTGAGGGCTAAGCAACTCTGAATATGCTAAAACCACTTAATTTTATACTTTAAAAAGGTAAACATTATAACTCAAATTGTTGTATTTTAAAAAATCTGAACCTAAAAAATGTTATACACTTACACCATGTAATAAATGATAAAAAACCATTGTAGCAAGAATGAATACTTTTTTGTTGTTCACTTACTTATTACTTCCTTTGCAGTGGATGCCATTTGGTGAACATTTATATATATGCGACACAGACATCTTTTCTCTTGTGCCCATTCTGAATGATCTCCACATACCACTTTCCTAGACATTCTAAGAATGAATACATTTTTAAGCAGAGCTGCTCAGCCTTTATCTTGTCATTTATTCTACCTCAAAATTTCCCATTTCCCACTGATCTGTCAAGGAAGTGGTGGCCTGGCAGCTTCCCTGTCACTCAGCATGCAGCTAGGGCCACTGCACAACCAGCTGGTAAAACAAGTAGCTGCAGAGCCCCATCCTTCCCCAGCTGCCCCCAGACTTAAAGGAATTAACTGTCCCTAGCAACTCCTCTCTAAGCCAAGCACACTTTATCAGCAAGTACCCCCAAACTGCCCTTGAAAGGGAGCTGAAAGAGTAGGGGAAAGAGAGACAGTTATCCCAGATTATCTCTTAGATTCAACTACGTCAAAACATCAACTCACACATTCCCGGATGAGACCACGGTTGAAACCAGTAGTCCAAAATGGAGGTCTTTTAAACTCATGCTGGCTTATTTTGCTGCAACTGTTAATGATAATGCTTCATTTTAAAAATGTCTAAATCAAATACTAAACCACAGTTGATGCCAAGGCCAGAACAACAGGCATAAACTGGAACTGACCCAGGAAGACCAGGGTAGGTGGGAACTCTCCTTAAACAATAAGACACTTTAAACAATTTTCTCACAGAAAATATCCACCAATTAAAATAAATTGCTTCATTATGATAAAATGAAACCTAAACCTTCCCTTCATAGTGTCAACATTACTAGTCAGTTTTGTAAAATTTATCCTATCAGAAAATGCATCGTTAATTATTATCTATAACATACCCACGACAAGTAAACTCGTAGTAGAAATTCGTTTTAGGCAATTCATGATTACTTTGTTTTCCCACATTGGCGATGGAAATGTAAAATATTTACTCCAAGAACTGTAATAATTACAATCAAGTAATTTTTATAATTATAAAAAATAAAATCCCTAGAGCTGTGTTTCCATGCACTCTTTTCCTCTATATAATAGCTATCGTGTAGTAAAAACAAATGTCAAAGAAAAGATTTTTCTTCTCAATTAAACTGCTACTTATTGCTTACTTCTCAGGGCAAATTCATGGCATTTATTTAATCATTCTGTGCAAACAGTGTAATTATACCGCATATGTAGTACTGGCCCAATTTTGTTCAAATACAAGAGGCTTATCCTAAGGAGCACACATTTAAAAATTTACTACTCAAATCATTCCTATTTCTCATTCTATATATTTGCCTCTTCTACTGTCCTGCCCAGTGCAGTTGATTTCACCTAATTTTCCAAACATTCACAAGGTATAATTTACAAATCTGTGCACATCAGACTTTTCTCGATCTTCCTTAAAAAAAAAAAAAAAACAACCTTCAGTAAAAGGAGAAAATAAGGAATAAAGTGAGGACAAATACCTCGGTTATTGATGGTTTCATTCTGTCGAACTTATGAGATTACTTGAACGAGAACAAAAATTGCTGGTTTTAAATCAGAAAGCTTGGCAACATGATGGCAGTTCAAACTCACCAGCAACAATAGAGACACCAAGAGTCCATCACACCCCCTGGGGCGTGCCTGGGCCACACTTTCTCTCCCGAGCCCATTTCCAAGACTCTTCACCCTGCAAGTCCAGTGTCTGCTGATCCGAGTGGCCTTCTAAGGACCTGGCTCCCTGTGAGGTCACATTACTATGACCTCACATTCTCAGAATGTTTATTGTTGGGGTGTCTGTAATCTTTTTACAGCCCCAATAAAAGCAGGAGCCAGAACACAAGGGCCACTGTATATTAGGGACATAAAAAACAATGTAGCCCAGCCTTGCTCACACTTGAGAAAGCAGACTGAAGGATCCCTCTCAGAGGGGATGACACCCCGTTTTGTTTCGCTGAATACACAAGACATTGTCCCTCTAGTCTGCTGAGTATTAGATGCTTTTGGTAGTTCGGATTTTCCTTTTTCTATAGATCAACTTTATTTCCCCTAATTTTCTCTTTTTATTTTTGTTCTTTCTTTTATTTTTTAAACCAGGTCTCAACTCTGTCACCCAAGCTGGATTGCAAGTGGCGTGATCAAAACTCACTGTAACCTCACACTTCTGGGCTCAAGGGATCCCCCAGGTCAGCCTCCTGGGCAGCTGGGGACTACAGGTATACACCATCGTGTTTGGCTATTTTTTGTAGAGACAGGGTCTTCCTCTTTCTCAGGCTGGTCTCAAACTCCTGGCCTCAAGTGATCCTCCTGTTTCAGCCTCCCGGAGTGCTGGGATTATAGGCGTGAGCCACCATGTCTGGCCTGCCCTATTTTTCTTGATCAAATAACCTTACAGGCCAGGCATGATGGCTCAAATGAAGGATCAGATCACTGAGTCTGATTACCAGGCCTTCTTATAACCATTTCCCGGCATACGGGAAATGATAGAGGTGGGCGTCACAAAGAAATGTAGGCTGTGCTCACACCCCCCTTACACCTGTTTGTTCCCTTCTGCTGTTGTCATCACCCCCTCACCCACCACGCCAAATTCTGCAAACTCTTACTGACCCTACAGAGCCCAGTTGAAATCACAGCTTTTCTAAGAATCATACTCTAACTCTCCCTGCTGCATTCTCAGAGCACTTAATACAGAC